ACACACACACACACACATACTTTTAAATGCCAAACTTTTACTAGACTTTGCAAACAAAGTTTTTCTTTGGCAAATGAAAGTTTTTTGTTAAACGATCATTAAGTCACATTTAGATTTTCTTAACAGTGAACCTGCTTCAATGTATAAATAGTGTTTTATTACTATATCCTATTTATAATTCATTAATGAATCCTTTATAAAGAGGGGGGGGGGGGGCTTTATAAAGAAGTCACTTTTTAGCAACACAACCCACAGCTTAATAAACTAAAATAAAGTATTCTATGTTACAACTACTTACATTGCACCTGCAAGCTAGTGATATTAGAGTCATTATTTTATCATAAAGGGGAATAATGAATTGTTGCTGGGCTTTTATGCGTTCGACTGGGTCCTAAAACCGTATCAGCACAGTCAATACTCCGGTTTATGTGGTCTTTTTTTTTTTTTTTTTAATAGTAGCTCCTCATTAATCTAAATCCAAAACAACAATGGGGAGTTCTGGACACAAGCGTGAGGCTGCAGCAGAGCCTGTGTTGCTGCCCCACCAGCTACCGCTCTCTGTCTCTTTAAATGGCGGGGCTTCGCGGCCGCCGACCAATAGGAAGCGCGGAGCGTGATGTCATCCTGGGAAGCAGAAAGCATGGCTTTTTCAAACAAAGAGAACAATGCCGTAATGCTACCGCGGCAAAACACAGCCCAGAACATCAGCGCCAATATGAAGAGGAGGTTATATGTTTATGGAAAAACGATGATGAAAAATTTATTTGTATTGTGTTTAAAAAATAAACAACTTGGGGTGGGCTCGTTCAGGAGCAGCGGCATCGGCCGACAGCGCCTGGGTGCAGGGCGTTGCACCGCCCAGTCCGTGTTTGTGCGTCTGCTGCCCCGTTTCAGACTGGGGGGCGGGGGAGAGCGATATAAAATAAAATCTGCTCCGAAAAAAAAAATCATTACTAACAATAAACAACACGTTCCGACGGCGGACTCTGCGTTAAAAAAAAGCGAGCCGCTAACGCACGTGCGACACGCAACTCGAGCTCATTTCGCGACATTCCCTTTGTTTGGTGCAGGCTTCGAGACACGTCCAGACTCCCCGACAACCTGCCGCTTTGTCTGACCCTTTTCCACCCCTCCCCCTCCAGCCTCCTCCTCATCATCAACCACACTCTCCCACTCCTCTGTCACGGCATTGTCTAAACACAGAGCAAATAATAAAAATAACAACAATCCGGGTCATTTAAAAATAAGAAAATATCTGCATGCTGTTTTTAAAAAGCAGAAAGAGGGGCGTGCAGTCAGACAGTTTTAAAGTTCAGAGGCTTTTCTGAGCAGACGAACACCCAAACAAAGAAAAACCAGGCTTCAGGATCTCTGCCTAAACATACAACAACAACAACAACAACAACAACCAGCTCATTCTTACCTTGTCTCCCCACTATCTCAGCAACGTGCTCGGAGCTCGGGACGGGCACACACTCCGTCATGTTGACGCTTCTTTTCCTGTTGCAGAGGACCGAGCTTTGTTCCCCGTGGAGCATGGAGTGCGACCCGGCCATGTGGTACCCGCCCGAGCCGTAGTATTCCGGGGACGGGGAGCAGGACGACGGCGAGTCCCGCGACCCGCCGGGGTGGTCCAGCATCTGGAGGTCCACGAAACCCCCTCCACCCACACCGTTGCAGCTCTCAGAGCCCGGACCCTGGGTCCCGTCCAGAGTGTCCACAAGCCCGACGCCTCCTCGGCTACCGTCCACGCAGTCCACCTTTTCCATGGCCATCAGTGACAGCTGGTCCAGGGCGAAGCGGAGCGCCTCTTGGTGGTCCTCATCCCGGGACTCCTGGTCCGTCTCCCGGGGCAGAGCCACGCCGCCGTGCTGGCTGCTGATCATCACGTCGTGGTCTATAATCTCGGGATGGAATAAAGGGCTAGGCATGGTCCCACCGTGGATCTTACATCAGATCACGGATACCTGTTTTATTAGATCTCACCTTTAACTAAAAATAATGACAATAAAAAATAAGGGAAGGGGGACAAAATGAGAAAAATAAGTTGTATTTTCAATGAGCACAGTGGAGCTCCCATCAACAACAGCATGCAGAACAGTGTTGAGCGCCTCGCTTTGTCTGTTGTTGCTGCTTCTTGTCTGACAACATCCAGCAGCCTGGTTGTTGTTTCTCTCCCAAGTAGCCTCTTTATTTTTTTCCTTCGCCAGACAACGATTTCTAGCGTTTACTTCACTCAGTCCAACGAGTATATATATCGATTTAAAATAAACATGAAAGTAGTAACGAACGCTGCTGTTAGCTTCTAGAGGAAAGCTAACAGGCTAGCTCCACACAGTCGGCACACAGTCACGTTGTCGACCCCTTTGTTTGGGAGCACCGCGGCTAGCCGCTTAGCTCCGCTCTGACAGGCGAACTTCTGCTCAATAATAACAACAACCCGGTAGTTTCTTTTAATTAAACAACGGCGGAGATGATTTGAACTTACTTTATCCGGCTTTTCGGGTCTCCTTTTCGCTCGTCTTCCAGCTCCTGAGGTGAAGACGGGAGGCAGCAACAGAAGGAGATCAGTGCAGCGCTGTATGAGCTTAGCGCGACAGCTAACTAGAAGCTAAACGGGGGGCGTTGAAGAAAAGACTGTTAAAAATGAAAAAAGGCACCGTTTTTTTTTTCCTTTTCTTGGAGCCAGAGCACACTCCTATCAGAGTTGTTGACTCTTCATTCTCGGTACCGTCAATGACTGTGGCTCGAGCCCCCCCACCCCCAAAAAATAAAAAAAAAATAAAGCTGGGAGTTCCCTTCTTAAAACAGTGATTCTCGGCTGCCCGCCTGACCCCGCTCGGTGCGCCGCCTTTTGTCTCGCCAGGCGCACGCCGCTCAGTCTGCCGCACACGGCACTGACGTCAGCCGCGACACAACAATAGGTTCAAAGGCCACATGCAGCAAGCGGACAGCATCAAGCCCTCACTTCTCCTATCTCAGCTTTTGGTTTTTACAAAATAAACTTGTTTTTTTGTCTCCCCACTTGAAATGATGATGAAAAGTAAGAAAATGTATACAAATACACATATGTGGTCATGGTTGGGTGTGTTCATCATGGCTACCAATGAGGTGTTAAGGGGTGGTCCAGCATCTCTGAATGATGTTATTGCATTTGCTTCCAGTTATTTAATACAAATTATTTCACATAGGTGGAAAATAGTCATGGTACCACTTTATCGTGCACAATTCATTCAAAGAAATATAAAAAAGTGTATTGATTAATCGCAATTGAAACTACTCACAAGTACAAAATCATGTTTATGGTACATGAATATTTAAATTGTACAAAAAAATAGTGTGTTACCAGCATTTCTAAAAGCAGTGAAGCTGAGGCTCAAATTTAACCTTTGACCTAATAAATGTATTTGGATAAGTTGTGATCAACCATGCATCCTTAGCAGAAGAGAAGGCGTCTAACATTACTGATCTTTCTCTATCAAGAAATAAACAACATGCTCACTTGCCTGATAACTGGCTAAAATGCATTGAATGGTTCAAAATGAACAGATAATCAAAAAAAGAGGTGGAATAAACGGTTAACATAATTCAGTATATAAAACTGCATTTATTTTTACAGTAACAGTGGTACACAGACAGAAATCTGTAATGAAATACAGTACATTGGTTTGTACAGCTTTTGTTCATGTCTTACAATCCAGATCTTTAATTTTAATGTAGTTGGTTAATTAACACAGCAAATTACTTTAACACAAATTATGTTTTAAGCTTTGAAACCTTAAAAGTTTTAACAAAAAGTTCTAATTTTATCAGAAAAAACTAAGATGTTTGCTTCTTCACGGCCACGTACGAGCTGTGTTTTTAATAAAAAATACTGCAGTTTTTCTTTTCAGCCAAACACACAGTGTGATACACTTTCTTACAGTATCAGTAAATATAAAGAAGCATAAAGTGGGAGAACGGTTAAACTCACATACTTCAGAAAACCAATAGAAACATCAAACATTCACATATATGAGGTGTGCACCTTCAGGAAAAAGCTTGAACAACTGGTAACTAAATGTAACACTGCATTGTACTGAGCACCTTCCACAGCTGCCTTACATTAGTAGAGGTAAAAAACAAACAAACTGAAACTTAAAAGCACCCTTTAAGGATTACACTACAAGGTGTAAAAATTTACAACGATAAAGACTACAGTCTTTGTTTTAGGTTAGAAAAATCTGCATGTCTCAATTGAAAGACTTTTTCAGTGTATACAAAATCAACATGAAAGCTTTCATTTAAATATCTGAGTTTACCAGCACTCTTCATCTCCAACGAACCTGGAGGGACATACAAGATAAATGTTATTCCTTGAGTAATATAATTCAGATTAAATATTGTGTTGTTTGGTGAATCAAATAAAGTCACTGTAGCGTCAACGCTGTGTTTCGGTGTACCTCAGTTATGACTCCTCCTTCATCAGCGGCTCAACCTTCTTCTCTAGTTGGTCGACTTCTGCCTCTGCAGCGGCGTCCTCTACGTGAGCCAACGAATCGGCCATCAGGGCCTCCTCTAGTCGTCGTCTCACATTCTGCACCAGATCCTCCTGTTTCCTGGAGGTGCACGCACGCACACACACACACACACACACACACACACACACACACACACACACACACACACAC